AGTTTAAAATTATATGATCATAGGTTAGCAACTTATAATTTATATGAAATTCAGAGTTTCAGAATGAACAAATGTTCACTGACCTTTGATGGCTTCTACAAACAATTATTATTAAAATGATAGCAGTACAAAAAATGCATATTTTTTAAAATATGCATTTTTAAATTTTTAATATATTTATTTTAAATATTTTATATTTAAAATTAATTTTATATTTTTGTATGGCAAAAATGTTCATTTGTACTGCCATCATTTCAATGATATTTCAATATTTTGTAGAGTTCATCAAAGGTCAGTAAACATCTGTTTTTGCTGCACAAACCAGCACAAACGGAGCCGAGTTAATTGACACCCACTTTGCCTCATTTGAAGAAGGTGGGAGGGCTGGTTGACATTTCATGACCTCTAGAAACATTTCTTTATATCTTTAAAATGATAGCGGCACAAAGGAAAGTTTTTGCTGCACAAATGTTTGACACTAATTTTGTCTGATTTGAAGGAGGTGGGGGGGCCAACTTCACTCAGGTCATTTTTATTTGTCTGTATGGAAAATGGCAACATCTTTATTGGTCAATGTCTGTGTCAAGAACAAGTTTTAACTGAAGAAAATGAGATGTTGATTTAAAAAGAATGCAGTTTGCAAAAAACTGTATCAATAAGAGAAAATCACTAAAATAACATTTTTAAAAAGCTACATTTGAAAATACAATTTTTTTTTTAAAGAAAATCTGATATTTTATTAATTTTATATGAAAAATAAACAAAAAAGTTAAATTAAATCTAAGAAAGCAGCAAAAATACTCTAATCTTTTTTTTGATGAAACATTTTTAACATTTAATTCTGGATTTTCTTTTTTAGTTACCAAAACATGTTCTTTGCTTGTAAAAATAATTGAACAAAATCCCTCAATCAATTCGTTTTCAAAAAAGGTAAACAGTAAAAATATCAAAAGTGACAAAATCTGAAAAAAAATAAAAAATAAAAAACAATCAATTGGTGTGAATACTTTTGACTCTGCATGTTTTACTATAATCCAAAAACATTATTAGTACTGACACCTAACAACAAACCTTTTCATTCCAAAGGTCCTGCTTCCTTAACGTTTGACGCCGACACGGCACATCCTAGCATTCATGTCTCCCGGGACAAAACCGTGGCGGTCGAGTGTGATGTCATGACCCAGCCCACGAGCAACAGCAAGCGTTTCCTCCAGTGCGTCAACATCCTGGCCGCCCAGAGCTTCCAGTCAGGGCGACATTACTGGGAGGTCGAAGTGGGCTCCAGCCCTAAATGGGACCTGGGCGTGGCTTCCGAGACCGTGGACAGGCACGCTCGGATCAAGCTGAGCCCCGAGAACGGCTACTGGACCCTACGGCTGCGCAACGGGGAACAATACTGGGCCGGGACGCAGCCGTGGTCGAGGCTGCAGGTCGCTTCATCCCCGCAGAGGATCGGGGTGTACCTGGACTGCGACGAAAGGAAGGTGGCGTTCTACGACGCTGACGACATGAGCCTGCTCTGCTTGTTTAGCAAGGGGCCAAGGGGAAAGGTGTTCCCCTTCTTCAGCCCGTGCATCACTGAAGGCAGGCAGAAACCGCATCCCATGAAGCTCCTCCATTACCCCTCTGTGGTTCTGTCTGGCTAAAGCCAGTCGATGCGGCTCCACATTAAAAACCTTTTATTGACCAAAGGCTTGGCAAACAGTATTTAAAAGGCCTCGCTGCCATTTCACGTATTATTACATCATAGAGTTTAACTCAAGCTTTTCTCAAATTTTATCTAAGCAGTAATCATGATAGATTAGCATTTTATTGAAACAGGTACAGCTTTCGCTCATGATCTTTAGCCCCTCGATGAAGGGGTTTTTAATCAGCATGTATAAAGTTTGTACATGGAGAGGTTGGATTTGTTTTAATGGTTCCTCTTGTTTTATGCATGAATTATGCATATTTTCAAATGTATATGCATGCATTGTTTCATTGTCGCTTACAGATGTTATCTTCATTTCTCTGTTATAAAGCTGCTGATGCAGATAATAAACCAACCTTTCTTTTTAAGCCGACTGCCTTTGAGTTCTTTCAGCAGCTGCGACTTTGCAAACATTCATCACCTCTGAAGGTTTAAAGCCAGCACTACTTGAACTCATCAAGGATGTTATAAGGCATCATCAAAGGAGGCTGCACGAATGCCAGCTCTGCATTTGATGGCAGTCCAAAACCGTTTGTAAATCAGCGACAGGGAAGGCTTTGTTGACTCCGCTGCACCTGGACTGGAATTTCTGAACGTGTGACACTGGAGCAGCAAGAACAGGCGGGCTTTTGGTTATCTTTACAAACACAAGAGCACCAACGTCCTGTTTCCTCCTGTCAGGTGAAAGGTCAGGCAAACAGAGTAACACTGGGGTTGTCTCTCGGCTTTTTTTTTTTTTTTTTGACAGCCCTCAAGGGCACGAGAGGCAGGATGCTGCAGCCTGCTTTTCTGATTGGAGGAGTGGCACAATAGACCACACCAAACTGAGATTTGTACTTTTTCCTGTAAATTGGCAAAAGCACTAACAACGTGTGAACTTTAATCCTGTGCATCCTGATGGTCCGAGGTGAACATATAAGCTTCTGATGAACCAAAATAGCACAACATGACAATTAAATATAGATTGCTATAAAAAAAAAATCTGATTTCATGTTTTATTTTTAGTCAGATACACAAAATCTCACCTTTAAACTTGATTTTTTTTTTGGTTACCATCTGCTATAGTATTGGACGTCTGATTATTATTATTATTTTTTCTTTTCTAGCAAAAACATGTAAGTTCTGTAGAAATGCCAAACTTAGGTGCATATCGACAACATTATTTTAAACATATAGCCACTTTCTTTAATTAGTAAAACATTTATTCTGTTGCAACAACATTTAAAGTCTCTTCAGCAACTGATCACTTGGGAAATAATTTTCAAGGACAAGACATCTGATGCAAACAGCTTAACACAGAATATCTAACAATAAAGTGCAGCGTCTGGAAAAATGCAGGCCTATTTCACAAAACCAAGATAAGGGATTAAATTGGGATTTCCAGCTATTTTGGCCTAATTAAGCCTTGACTAAGATTCACACAAGCAGGCACACATATTGCCATGGTGATATATATTCTGTGCAGCTAGCCTGCTCCATCAATCAGCTTCCATTTTCTTCTCTGTTTCTTGGTATTTTTTTATCTTCCAACATTCAAAGCCACTAATCTATATTGTTATATATCCAACAACTTTAATTATTTTCATCATAGCAGCCTATACCAATATTAACTTTATCATTTTATATGTGGACATGATTTCTTTTTGAAGAGTTTATAAAGGCAGCTATTGTTCTAAGTTTGACTGAAAGGTCTTTATCTTAAAGGGAAAAAAAAAAAAAGGCTGATAAAGTTGGCTGATAAAGGCTGGAGACGACATCTGCTACCTGTGCAGACTACTGGGTCCCAAATTCTGAACCAAACAGAACAAAGCCATGCCGTTAACACAGGTTTGTCTCTGATTTTCACTAGTGGTGAGTTTCTGAATGCAGTAGGAGATGCTGAAAATCTTAAAGCCACGATTTGCTGCACAATTAGAAAAGTCTATTTGGTACTAAAATGGCTACATGAAAGGTGTAGAGGACAATCTGTTATTTCCGGGTGGATCATTTAAATAAGTGGCCCTCCTAATTGTCAGTCATTCTGCTGATTTGTTTACCGGTACGTAAGGCCGTCCTACGTGCTTGTCCCATTAGCTATCTTTTTCGTATTTTCAGACGCATATGTGTGGTGAGCTGAGGTTTGTGACAGTCATTGAAGCTCACCTTTTTCACCATGGTTCTTTGAAAAAGGCCTCAGAAGAGGCAGCTATATCCCAGAATGCCTTGCCAAGAGAGCTCTCTTCATAATGCCCTATAGGATTTTTTGTCACAGCGGTCCACTTTCGCCATAGGCTTTCGCTACCTGACAGCGGCGAATAATAGCAAAGATGGCGCAGGCATCACACGGTGGAGGAGTTACATGACCAACAGAGCAAAAACCAGTGATCATCTGTCTGAACTGTAAGCCAACTGAGTTTGCTATAAAGTTCACTATATAGTCCGTGCTGTATGTGGACACAGTAAGCTTTTATGGGCTATGAGAAAAGCACATTTCAAACAGGGCTTGAATGAGGAGAAATGGTCTTGTGCATGCTCTTGCACGTGCGGGTGGCGGGTCTTTTAAAAAGTCTTCCACAATACCTTTAAGGTGGGGTTAGGTGGGTTTCTACAATATTGCACATGAATTAGGCGACATGTCACAAAAGACACTTTTGAACAGGTGATCTAGTTCCTTTAATTTTTTTGATACAGGATTCCTTGTTTTTGGTGCGTTGCATCAAACACGCATCAAGATATAACGCCCCTCTGAAGCACATGGAGGGGATTTTGTT